GGACTCAATAGGTGGATAAAAATGCCAAATCCAGTCTAAACATCTGGCTGACTGTGTGACCTACCATAATAATTTATTACACTTGCATGCCAGCAAACTCTCAAGGACTCTGGGCAGCTCACAACAATCAAAGAAATTACAATAAAATCAATTAAAGATTAAAGAAGGCAGGTGCAATGAAGCAAGGAGTCTCACCCTCCCTTACCAAAGGCCTGGGGGAAGAGCCAGGTCTTTATAGCTCTTCTAAGCAACAGCAGAGTGGGGGCCATCCAGAACTTGAGGAAAACCTGATTATGGTATAGCATATGTATGGCATGCATTTAAAGATTACTTGGTTCTGTTTAATTTTTTGTGATTTTTTTAAAAAAATCCAACTTTCTCGAACGAATGAGACACAGTTTTGTTAAAATACACTTGTTGGTTTATGAAGCTATGAAGGCCAGAGTAATATAGTGGTAAGGTGCTGGATTTGGATCCAGGAGATCCAGGGTCAATTCCCCACTCAATCACAAAGGTCATTGGGTGACTCCAGACTAGTCATTCTTCTTTCAGCCTAACCTGCCACACAAAGTTATTTTTCTAGGGAATAAAATACGTAGAATAAAATCTACATATGCAATCCTGAGCTTTCAGACAAAAAGTGGGATATCAATGGCATAAATGCATAAATAAAAATGGCTGTTGGGTGTGCAATTTTTGAGCCAAGAAACATTTCAAGACACAAATCAAAAAAGATTTGGTAAATTATGTGCCCTTCTAAAGATTCTGTTGGAAGTTCATGCCATTTCCTTTGAAAATAAATGCACAATGGGTTTCTTTGACATCACTGTGAATAGTTATAGCAAGATGAATATCATAAACAAGAATCTTAAAAGGGAATACTGTAACTTTCTGTGAGGAGCTAGAAGTTTGATTTATTGAGATCAAATTACATCATGTTATTCTGGCTAGTTATATCCAATTTGACGGCTTTTTTCGTCTATATATTTCCCTATTTTGTTCTAGGGTTTGATTTTTTGTTTTTTTGTTTTGGACTGTGGTAACTTCACTGCTTATTTAAGAGTGTTCTTGTGCATCAAATGCTTCTTAGCTAGTTTCTGCCTGCTGGCGTTTTTAATGTCCAACTTCATTTGTCAGTTGTCTAAATGCTAGTCTCTTCAGTTTCCATAAGTGAAATAAAGGCAATCTCTGATGGTGGCATATTTCCCATTGAAAGATGTACAAATGGTTAAGATGAACATGCTAAGCATAATTTAATGTTAAGAATGGGCAAAGTAATCCCCCAAGTAATATACAGAGGATGACAGAGCAAATCAAGGAGGCCATAGAGTGCCATTTGTCATCTTCAGTCAATATCTCATTAGTCTT